AAATCCCTCAGTTACAAAAAAAATCATGTTCTTAATCAAATACCTGCATTAAACATTAACACAACCTGATTTTGGTGACAATGACTCTTTTTCCAAATATTTGAATTGTAAAATTTATCTGAAGAAAATAACCTCAGCAAATTGAATATAATAGTGATCTATCCTAGTAATGGAAACTGAAATTGTTCTACTTTGTTATTTATGTTCTATTTACAGTACTGCAATTACACCTTAAATGTATCGAAAATGTTGCTTTCCTCCTCTTTTGTTTAAGTGCACCTCAGCAGTGTTGCTCTGAATCTTAAACACAGCAGCAGTCATTATTTTTGCAGTAGCTGCAGTGTGAAGTCAGCCACTCCGTGTCAAGGTCAATTTGCTCCTTTATTGTTACATAACTCTTGGACGCTTTATCTAAAACACACTTCTTTTTGGCCAAGTTGAGCAGTTTCTAACTTTTAAAAGCAGCCCTGGGTCCTTGGTTAGAGTGCAGCAAAGATAAAATCACTGTTTTAGAAACTGACATGATTAACTCATCTGTATGGATCTAATGTCTCAGTGTGAAAACCAGGATTATTTACAGTTTAAAACTGATGAGATCTCAGGATTTGCCAGTAAACATGTGTAAAAACATTTTCAACTGCTTAAACCACATGTTCACAAAGGTCTATGTATCCCCCATGGCATCGTCATGACTTTGCAAACTGACAGCCATGATTTAACATGACTGACAGAGTGTGTCATCCTATTTCGTTCTGATGAACTTTGGTCTGACAGTACAGTAGAGCTATGAGAATAGCTACAGACAAGTCTCTCACAGTGTAAACTCATTACATCCTCATCTATTTTCTCTACCATCAAGTGTGACAATGAAACACAATTTAGCATCCTGCCCTTTGCCGTCTCTCTTCCCCCCCTCCCCTGCCAGCATCATGTCTGGCCTGCCCGCAGCGTGTGGCAGGTGGCTAGCATTATGCTGACCTTTTCTGCACTGTGGATTTCAGCCAGTTTGAATCAGACATCTCAATCTTCCATGAACCACCTGAGGCAGCAGCCCTCAGCATCGTCCTGTGGAGGAGCCAAACCTTACAGCCACACAAATAAAAGTTCTGCATTGCACCCAAAGGCGTCCCTGGAAAATAATTTTGTGTCAACTGCATATTTATTTAAAAAAAAATGCATCCAGCAAGTTGTGTCACCTTAAAATAAAAGGTGGAGCATGTTTGTATAGTATATACATAGTATACTACACATAAACACTTCTTAATATACAGTATGAATGGCATGTGATACTTTTTAATGATGCTTCAAAAACTTACACGTCTGATTTAGCCTTTGCAGTAATTTTTGTCGCCCAACAGAAGGTTTGAGGTTTTGCAGACACGTGACCACTAGCCACGTTAACTCATCCGCCATTTTGAATGTTCGACAACCATGGAGACAATGTAGGATCAAGTGAATGAGGCTCCAGTTCCACAAGCCTAGAGAGTCGTCTGTGACCATCTGGCAACCACTTGACACCAGGGGGAAAAGAGTATTTCCCAGCCGGCTGACAAAATACTCCACGTGATTGCATTGGTAGCTAGCATATCGCAGCCACCAAATTAATCACCCTCCAGCTCTCGGAGCTGTAGCGAAACTGTGAAACAGACAATGCAAAGTAGATTAAGCAAAAAGTGTAACAGCTGTGCCTAAGCGCCTCATCCAACATGTTTCAAACGTGCAACTTTTACTCTGAAGGTGAACCTATCCCACTTCCACTTTGCAATGAACTTTCTCAAATTTTACTACCGCTGGGCTAATAGTTAGTGGGTATTTACAGAAACATGAGAAACTACAGACAACTATGACAATTTCCTGCAACCAAAGCAAGATCTAAGAGGTTTTTGATGCAGCAACCTTCTTTGCGACAGATTTTATCCAGTGACAGACAAAAACCACCATATCGCCCACATTCTTGACTAATGGGCACATGGCATCACATGATAAACCTCAGCAGCTAAACCTACAACAGTAAAGATCCTTTTACATAAAGAGGAGATAAACTAGGAAATGGGGCCAGTGGAGAACAAAGATCATGATAGTACAGAACAAACTCTGTACATTGGAATGTTTTGGTGTTTTTAGATTTGTTTTTATTAGATTTTAGATTTTATTTTTATATTGTTATTTATTTCTACATGCTGCCAAGAGGAAGCTGCTTCTAATTCAGTTGAATACCTAATGCTTGTTTTAAACATCAGATTCTGACTGATGAATTCAATAAGCTTCTTCATTCTTTTAAATGGCATTTTCTGCTATTGCATTAACTGTAATTCTTAAACAGTTAATACAACACTTTTGTTAAAGACCTTGAATTAAAACAGAAAGTCTTCAATTACATCTTGATTGCTTTAGTTAAAATCTACTAAAAAACCTTTAAGAAAGTGTTTGGGAGAAAAAAATGTAATAAGCAGAGACCTCACACTCTGGGTGGGTGGCAGTCTGCCTCAACCAGCCTGGGTGAAAGGAGAGAAAAAAGTCCATAAGAAAAATTAATGCCTTATGGATCTATATTAACCCGAGACACGAGCACAGAGAAACTTTCCTCCTGAGCTCTCTATCGGGAAATATCCAAGTGAAGTAAAAATAACCACAGCACATTTTGAGTGGAATCATCTCAAATAACCTAGAAACTGTTTCATTCGGTGTTGTTTCATGTCAATCAAGCATCACAAGTGGTGCATGTATCGTAAGGCTAAAAATAGCCAGTGTCTTGAACCAGACGTGCAGTTTAGGCTGGAAACAGAGTAGAAGGTACAGCTGGAAAATGTAATCAAAAAAAAAAAAAAAAAAAAAAAGGAAAATGTAATCAAGAAAGCAAATTGGGTCAACTTGACGTCTTATGAACATGAGAAAGCCAGGAAAAGTCTAAAGTTGGGACAACTGACAAATAGTTAGGGAACAACATCAGTGTGTCAAAAACATAACGAACGCAGGTAAAGAAAACTCTGTGTTTAACCGCGACTACAAAGTGTGTTTAAAATGCTAAAGAAGCTGCTCACTCACAGATGAAGATGCAGCTTTCATCACCAGACATGAACGTCCAAGAGTCATTCAGGCCAGGTGTTTGCTCTCTGCTGAAGCTTTGAGTGGACAGTTGTGGTCAGAATGGGACAGGAAGCAATCTAACCAGAACATTAATGATGTAGGAGCCCATCTGGCCCTGAATCCACCACAATTCACAAATTATTGACTGCAAAATGAAAAATGTGACCTTGATCTGAGCACAGTTTAGATGAAAAACCATTAGAAGAACATTGTGTGCAAGTTTCAATAAAAATCTGACCGGGACTAAAGGAGTAGCAACCCTTGAGGTCATCACTCCTTCAGCCAGATGAGCTGAAAATAGCAGCCCTGCTGAAAGCTAGGCTTGCTCGTGATCATGACCTTTACTGGGAGATCGGCCAAACTTAAATCAGGTACAGATCGATTTTGATGCACCTGATCGCAGAACTTTTCGATCACACCTTGTATCTACTACTACTCTAGAAAACACACTGTGAGTTTTGATATGATTTTGTTGATGGTCGCTGCTTGATCACCTTAACAGTAAGAGCCACCAGTACTCCTTAACTATTGTCAAACTGTTACAAACTATTTTCTTGTTGCACATGCCATCAATTTATATGCACTGCTGCAAAAATGTTTCTGATAGGTACACTAAAGATAATTAAGGCATTTCATCATTATATGTAGTTTTATTTGCATGGCCCTTAGCTTTAAACAAACCCAAGTTTCCCTTTCTAACTGGTAGGATGTTAGTGGTGGAGAAGGACTCATGAGAATATACATGACTTATTTATAAATGAGTGCAGCGACTACGATTGGATCAATGTGTGCAATATCAGAGGACTTCCACAAAAAAATTGGACAGGAAAAAATACTAAATATTTTAGCTTCTGTGAATCTGAGTTGGTAATGATCTCTAGTTTCTCTATAACTTCAAAAGCTGGACTGAAATTAAATATGTTATGTGTTTAAATATGTGGGTTGGCATTCAAGCTGGACAAATGTTTAGCAAATAACCTAAAGTATATATTTTTCTTGTAAGAAATGAAAAAAAACCCCACTAACACTAATATTATATTAGATGATAGTTGAGTTGCTCTCTTCTTTTCCACAGCGAGCAGCTCCATGTGTGTGATCCGGAAGACTTTTACGATGCCTTTCCTCACATAACCCCCAAATGGATTTGTGTCTCTTCCCAGGATTGAACTGGAAATCTTTATTAGTTGAATGTGAAAACCACTACAGTATTTATCAAAGCATCAAAAATAAATTGGAAGAGTGGGTCACGAATCAAAATCCTTCCAATCAATGGAAGTCAAGCCTTAAATCAAAGCAGCAAACTCACCGTTTTCTTACCGAGAGTTCGATTTTTAGGTTAATTCAGCTTCTGTATTTGTTCTCTTTTACAGTTATGCTTATGTCACAGTTGTGTCCATTTATCTTGCAGGCCTACATACAGTTTGTCTCCACTGGTAAAAGTATAGCTATACTGTTTGTCTTATGATTTAGGGGTTATATACTCCAGGCTGCTGTTGCTTTTTATTTAGCCAACTCTGTGTTTCAGTAACAGGAGTCCTCCTCGGAGTTCAACCGATAAAAGATGTAGAAAACATTTTGTTATATTTTTGTGTATACCTAAAAAAAAGGTTCTTCTGTTGTTTTAAGAGCCCTACATGGTGACAGAAATAGGAATGCAGGCCACTGGTTTTGTGTGGGACTACATTGAACCTAAGAGCAAAGAAAGGAAATTTTACCATCAGCCTACACAGAACAGCATCTCTATGACCTGATTAGACACTCAGTGATTTGGTCTAGTATGTGCATGTTTGCAACAGCAGTGTTTGTTAGTTTATGAGAAAAAAGGTCAAACCTAATCGCTCAATTTCCTGATCTTTCTGAGTTTGGGATGATGTGGAGAAGCGCGGCAGTGAAGCAGAGTGAAGTCTACTCACCCAGTCCTAAGCAAGATACTCTGAGTCCGGACTTTCCAAGGTTCCTGCATAAATAGGAAAAAAGAAACATGCGTCAGGTCTCGATAAAATACAAACACCTCGGCGGAATGAACACATCACCAAACATGATCTGCATCATGTTTGGTGATGTGGATAATATTTTAAAGACGAGACTCGGTCGTTAATCTGACTGATTACAAACTTTACCTTCAACAGTGTCCGCTTACAGGCATTTTCACCTATAGTCGATATTAACCTGTGCATGCAGCAAAACGTCAAGCAGACTGACAGTCTGGAGACTAACAAGCTGCTCTTTTTTTTTTTTTTACAAGACTGTGAATTTGGCTTTGCTTGACATAATCACATGACAGTTTGACAGTACGCTTCTCTTCCTGATTTCTCTGTGAAAAGTTAAAATGAATTTCACTCATCCAGGTCTCCAGGTAATCCTCCTATACAGCCTGCATGGATGTATAGGAGGTGGAGATGATGATGAAGCTGATTATAATGGTTAGCTGCCCTTTGATATTATGTTTCCATCCGCAGGGAGGAGAAAATCACACGGTTATTAATAACAGTGTGATGCAGAGAGACACACGGGTTAAAGCAGGTTGGCAGAGTAAAGGAAAAATACCAGTGCATCTAGCAGTGAGGATTATTTGCACACATGAAAGGTTAAAGAAAGATCGTAAAGGTGTCAAAACTGTGTGTGTGTTTACTATTGATGAGGTCTAATAGCCTCATTAGTGATGTCATTAACATACATCTTGCAGAGTATGTTTTTTGCATCCCTTTAGTATAAAAGTAATAAGACCGTCCTCTTATGGCACAAATCAGCATGCTGCCTGCAACCTTATTAACCCACCAAATCAAAGACACGCTGATAACAGTGTGCAGAGTATCTCAAGACATTTGCTCCGTTTAGCATTAAAAAAAACACTGGACTGCATAAATACACATAAAAACTAAATATTAATAACAATAATATTAACCTATAATTTAAGTTCTGCAATAATTATTCTTTTAGGGACAGCACAAAGATGAGTAAATGTAAAAGTTGCACATTTCTAGGGCTGATATGGGAACTAATGATTCCACCCTAAACATCTAGTGGGCACCTACCAACATTATCTAAATTTTCGGAGCTGTGTTTGTGCCCAGCTGACAAATCTGATTGGTAAAATATGTGAAGAAGATTAAAGTAAATTAGTTGCAGTGATGGTAATCATGAACATAAGCTGCCCCCTGTTAAATTCCTTAATCAACCAAACTGTTGTCTGCAATATCCAGATATACAAGTTGAATATTCACTGGGGACCTAGATTTCTCACCCCACGGTGTCCCCATGGATTAGTGTGTGATCAAGATAAAGTCACCATTGGACATAATAATGCAAATGCACACCAACCAACACACATACTCATAGCACACTTTTAATACTGACTTCTGGGGTTTAAGCAGGTGCAGGGATAAAACAGATGCTCCAATTCATCAGCCTGTAGGCAACACACACGTGAATGATTTTCCTGGGGGAAGCTGTTACAATATGTTGTGCTTGCACTTTTGTACTTGCTACAGCACTGTAGTTTTAGAGGATAGTATATAATTGACCTGGAATTGTAATCTACGTCATCATTTTTATATAAAAACTTCTTATTGTTCGTTCTGCAGCCTGAAAAGTTGAAAGCCCAAAAAAGGAACCACTGTTCATCATGCTGCTGTACGCTCTGTATAAAAGCAGTTGGGATGAAAGCATGCACAACTCTTTAAACCCCTAAAGCAGGACACACACACAGGACAAATATCGAAAACTTCCTTAATCCCTTTTATCTTTCCTACTGAAGTCTCTGACCACCTGTACTGCAAGTCCATACAGATAATATACAAGAACTTAAAAGTGCTGATAAAGTGGATTTTATCTAAATGTAACATTTTATCTATTTATTCATTGAAAGTTTATGTAAAAAAAAAAAAAAAAAATTTTTTTTCATCCAACCAAGTTTTCATTAAAACACATCATGGCCTCACTACAGCATCAGTGCATTATTCACAGCTGTCAGCATCTTTCATTTTGGCCCACCTGTCAAAACTACTTAAGTTTTTCATTACCGATGAGACCTTTGTATCAGAATACTAAATCAGGCATAAAAATCTGTTTTAGATTATGCATTAAATCCTCTGACACCTGTAAAATATCCAGAAAGGACATTAAGAACAAGGTGCTCTTGAACAACACGTAACAGGAGCTACTTTTACTCTGTAAACAGCAACAAAAAGTTATTATAAATTCTGTTTTTATTGTATTGCTACACTTTTATTATCCTTTAATAGTGAAATATGGTTAGAATCTGCTTCTTTGCCTTTTACCTGTCTATGATTTCCATACAAAGCCAAAGTTCATCCACTGAAGTTTCTTAATACTATGGTCAGAATACAGTATTTAAGTACGCGTATGTACTGTAAATATGACCAGAACTTTTTCTGTAAATGACTGCAAACTGCATTTTGCAGTCTTTCACCTGATCTTCACAGACTCAGGCTTTAGCCCTCCCAGTGACCCAGAACAGGAAAGCAATTTAGAAAATGTATAGAAATGTGTAGCTTCCAGTTATAGAAAAAATGAGGATATTTATAAAAAGCCCAAAGTTAAGGCCTTTATTCAGGGCAATATTTGAATTTAGATCATAGAAACTAGAGGTGCTGAGTCAGTCAGTGGATGCCCCTGCTGACGATTAATGATGATGCCTCTGTTTCCTGGCCACGACCATGAGCGATGATAATACAGGTGCACTCTATTTAAGGTCTAAAGAGAAAAGCTTTGTTTGAGCCAAAACAGAGTATACATCTACCAACAAAGAACTAGCAAAGCAAAAAACTGCCCTCCATGATGACTAATAAAGAAGCCACCAATTCATTTAGACAGAGCATTTGTGCAGCAAATGTAATGATGATGGGCTATGTTTGTAATGTGGAGCCATCCTAAAACACTGCAGTATATAACGTCTGATAGTCTGACCTGAAAAACTCTAAAGAAAACTCAAAACTACAAAACTCTGAACTACAAAACAAACCATATAAGTCATGCAATGACCGACAGCCAGACAGCCTTGTTTCCAGTTTTAATTGTGGAACAGTTGGGGTGACAGTCAACACCTCCAAGTCTGAGGCCATTGTTCTCGGTGAAATACTTCTGGATTCAAGAGCAGAGCCTGTCACAACAAGATTAACGGGAAGGTGTAGTGTGGAGTGGACCAGTTGGTGCAGTGTCAGCAGTATTGCAGGCAGTGTACCAGACTGTTGTGGTTAAGAGACAACTGAAGCGAAGGGAAAGCTTCCGATGTACCAGTTCATCTTTGTCCCAACGTTAATCTGGGCAATGGCCAAAAGAATAAAGTCTACAGGATCCTGCAGGAGGATCTAGAAAATGTGGCTGAGGGAAAGGACATGTGGCTGGCTGCCACTGTGACTCGAGTTGGGATAAGTGGAAAATAATGAATGGATAAATGATCTGTTTCTACTTGACTCTTAACAAATCTCTACTATAACATTTACCATTATACCTGTGACAAAACTCCTGCCTCCAGTACACTCCTATAGGTTGGTTCTGAGATATGAGATAAACACCCTACTGCATGTACACTAGCTATTGTGCAAAATGATTTGAATGGACACAAGACTAGAAAGTAGAGCATAAATGCCAGTCCATCCAACTAATCTGAGTTGGAGGACTTGTTGCTTCAGAAAATCAGTGAACCAAACAACAGGAATCACAGGACTGGTTCCACATCCTGAAACAAAGAGTAGGTTTCCAGAATAAAACTTTGACTTTCCTAAATAACAGCCAAGCTGCAAATTTACTTGAATTTAGCTCTTACTGTACCGTGAAAGAAACAGGGAATATAAAATAACCACAAAAAAGCATCTGCATGTTTTGTAGAATTTTTTTTTTTCTCCAGTAAAACACATAACTTCTCAGATCAGGTCAGGCAGCCCGGTGAGCTGACACAATATGTCCTCTCATTCAGCTTTCTGAGGCTTTAATTGCATGATGGATAAAGGAATGACGGTGATGATGATAATAGATGAGACAGAGAGGAGGTTTGAAAGAGGAAGAAAATACGATTGCTCTCTATGCTCCATAGATGAAGTAAGAAAGTGATTTCCCCCACATCAAAAGCTTCTTTCAAATGGTTCTTCATAGCTATGAAACCATTTACAGCCAGACGTAAATAACCAAGCCACCACCACCAAACACGCACATGCTAATGCAAACCAATACAGCCATCCTTTCCCATCAAATATTTATTGAAATATGAAACCTGCCCCCCCCCCACAGTCACTTTTCCCAACAGATCTATCAAGCCTTCCCAACAATGAGCCTATTCATCTCCGCTTAAACATGTCTTCATTTGCCTGATGATGGACAGTAATGACTTTCTCTAATACCCCCGGCACTATAGGCAATATTATCCTCTCTCTTCTTCTGCCAAAAACAGCCTCTCTCTGTTTCTCTCCTGCAAGCCAGCAGTCCTCATCACAGATGTGTCACTGATTACCTGTCCCAGTATAGTAGTGAAAGGATCTGCAATCGGGAAAAAAGAAAGAAAAAATAGGTTGTACGTCAACTCTGCATTTTTAACATTAGTTTGTTTTTACTAGACAGCGGAGTGTAATTGGCCCGGAAGCATTGGGAATGCTCTAAATGTGACAAAAGACTTTAGTGTCAGTGTTGCTTGTGCTTTAATCCCGTCATGATAATAATGACTAAGATGTCTGTTGACTGAGGCAGTGTCTAAGTTTGTCACCAGTCAGGTTGTATTTATTACTACGACTGGACTCATTTATTTTAGACGAAATAGCAGATAAAAGCTGGCAGACAGAAAATTTCCCTGAATTTGAAAGTAAACGACCGATAAATATGCCCTGCTGCAGCGGGCGCAGCAGGCAGTTATCATTTGTCATAATGATAAACAGAAAGCTGCCCAGATGATGTAGGAGACGTCTATGAGAAGAGGCGCATATAAAATCTCTATGCCAGTTAACT